GCCACCGATGCCCTAGCCACGCGCTATGCACTGGTAACAGAATAGTAACTATGTGGCTACAGACGAACACTCAAGATTATGGTCACTTGGGACCGCTCAAACTCCTTCCGGAAACGTCTCCCGAACCAATCTCACTCCTTCTCAAACAGACAATCTCACAAGTTATGTACCAGTAAGAAAGTACACCTAAACAAACAGACAATCTTTTCAAGTCCCATCCGAAGAACTCCGACGCTCTCGCAGTAAAATCAACAGACTAGCAATCTCCTACACCATAAAATTTCCTAACCTCTGATTATCCGACACTGTACAGCGCTGTATACTTTAAATAAATAGGTGGCAGCATCGTAGAACGATCGTAGAATGAGTTCGTGCGTGCTACACAAGTGTAATCTGAAACAAACGTTACTTTTTTGCCTGCATGCTATTAGTCGAAATTATACTTAGTGATTCTTGTCAGGTATGGAAGCTATTTGAAGATTTCTTTATCCACTAATTTAATAAACTTGGTTTAATCGACTTCAGTCAGGCATACTTTTAATTTATTTACGGAGTTGGCTATCGTGACCGTCTTGACCGTCGTGACGGTGCTATAGCTTTTTTTTTATTCCCTATGGCAATGTCTTGTAAAAGATCAGTAACTTTGCCGTATTTTATGTTCATCCACACGTAACTTCTGTAGAAGCTGGGCAGCCGAAAGACGCGTCGTGATTTATAAACCAAACAAGTTGAACACGTGATGGAAGTGTACATTTTGTGCTTGTCTGTGATTTTGTCAAAGTAATTTTACAGGGTGGAATGACGTGCTGAGCAGAATTTGTGCCTCAGTACCCACAGTACCTCATACAGAAACCTACTTTCCGCTACTTGCTTCAGAATGGCAGGGTGCCATGTAAGGTTATGATACAGAGACAGTGTCATGTGTTACAACATCAGACGGAATTTATCAGTTTGTAAGTTTCGCAAATTCCAAGGCTGTAGAGAGTTGGTTATGTGTAAAGTAGAACATTGTTTACCTGGTAAGCAAACAACCCAGAGGTTTTCTTTTGCTGACATTATAGAGGACCATATTATTTCACCTAGATGTCTTAGAATTTGATTTCTTCATTGTAGTTTGTGACATACAGATCACGTTTTTCAGTTTTTATACCAACTGCTTAAATGCTGTACAAACCTTGTAATGGATTTAGCTCGGATAGGTAAATAAATAACAGACCTATGTGTCACAGTAAAATCTTGTGTCACATTACTTGTCATTTGAAATTTAGGGCATAAATCTTTTGTGAACTAATCCCTGTTCTACACCAATGTATAATTTGGCATTCACCAGAAACAAATATATTTTGTACACCATGTGGTGTTATTTTAAAATGTAATATAAAATGAAGAACCGCCTCTGTGGTCTAGTGGTCAGAGTTCCTGGCTACACATCAAGAGGTCCAGGTTTGATTCCCGGTGCTTCCAAATTTTTCCTGAGAAGTAATGGGTCTGAAACAGGGTCAGCCCCCGGGTGATAATTGAGGAGGTATTTCAAGGAAATAGCGGCTCCAGTCTAGAAAATCGAAATTAACGGGCAAGGGGATTTGTTGTGCTGACCACATGACGCCTCCTATCTTCAAAAGTTTCCACTAACTTTGCCAACAAGCAGTGGTCGCTCGGTTGGTATAGTTCGCTTGCGGACTAAAATCACGGAGTTTTGTTTTTAATATAAAATGAAGGTTAAAAGTCAGTAAAAATGAGAGCTCACCATGGATAAATTAGATGAAATTGGTGGGTATGCTTGAACATTTTCCACAGAAACTTCTCAAAGACGTCAGGTAGCAGATTGGAGTTTCATGTTTCAGTGCTCATTGAATGAGAGGAAACTTTAGTGTGCAGACATGAACTTGTTGTAGAGGTTCCAGGAATGTGTGTGTAACAACAGGTACCATTTGTTGCATCTGTGTGACCTTGGGTGATTTGGTATGAGAGTTGCTGATTATAAGCTTTTCAGTTCCATAGGCGACCCAAGTCTCAGTGACCTGGGCTGAGCAGGAGGAGGGTGTGAGTCTTCTACTTGGTTGGAATGGCAGTTTGTGATAGACTAAAAGATAATAGCACTGTTCTTTACCATAACTATCAGATATGTTGAAGCAGCAAACAATTTCATCTCTATAGTCTGGCCTTGTAATTGTTTGTGTTTATTTTTGGAGGGATATTTATGCAGAATAGATGGGGAAGGATAAGAGGAAGAAAGATGGCAGTAGGAAACAAGCAGACCCCTCACTTCCCATTGATGTTGGTTCTGAACCAAAAGCTCAGCGAGGGCCAAGGAACAGGGCATCTCAGGAGCAAAACCTGAAGGATTGCAGCAAGAGTGCTGATAGTTCATTAAGAGATAAAATCTCAGATCATTCAACTTCACAGTCTGATTCAAAGCCAGGTGAGACACCTCAAGAATTTTATTTTATGACCAGAGCCTAACAAGTATTTAATTTATATGTCTGTGAGGTGTATGTCAAACGGTTGTTATGTTCAGCATATATTACAGGCAGGTTCTATTATGCTGTGTTTGCACAGAGTTGATAAATTGAACGTATTGTTAGCATCTGCACTTGTAGTTGTTGGGTGGATATCTAATTATGGTTTGTAGTGGTTTAATATTACCCCTACTTTACATGAAGCTGTAATAGAATTTGATCAACATTTTTCACTGTGATGCGCAAAGTTTCAAATTTTACGCCCACAAAATATATTGTCGCGTATCGGGCGTATATCGCGACAACTTCACGCCGTATTTTATATAGCGAATTTTATTTCACATTCGCACTTACAGTCACCCAAATTACAATCTGACAATTACTGCTATCTGCAGTATCACAAATATTACACTCCAAATGCCAGAATACAACTGACTAGTTGCTGGCTAACTCGGAACTAACTCGGAGGTAGCTCGAGGACTCACTCGGCGGTAGCTCCAGGACTAACTGACTGACTCAGTACAACTCGGAAATGTCTTCAGTACAACTGAAGTCGCCGACTGCTACAGTAGAACTGACTGTGAATAGCCTTCGCTGCTCCTCATGTAGCCTCGATCGGACAATACTGAAAACGGCCACGTAATAAGCACCCTTGTTGCCTGGCGCTGTGTTGCTAGCAACGCTAGCGGTAGTAACCGCTGTTACTACCGTAACAATCCTGTTGCGTCACCGTTACGTTACCGTGTGGAGGAGGGGGAGGGGAGCGCTGACTCACCCGCCGCGTCACTGCTGGTGGGGGGGGTTCTCCTTTGCGCAACATGTCACACTATGTATTTCGGTGGTGTGTCTCAGCCCATTGTATTTTTGTGGTGAGGACTAGATGGAACTGAATATTGATTGATTTACAACATGACTATGATCCGTTCATGAAATCTGCTCAAACTTATAAGAAAAACATAAGATATTGTGATATAATTTTCTAAAAAGCCAGTTTGAAGACCGAATGCTAGTTGGGAAGATGATGATGATCCGAATACATTTGAAAGTTTGCGAACACACCAACACTGATAGTGAGGAAACCTCACCTCCCAGGAAAGAGAGGTGTGTTTATCACCCTTTTGCAATGCTTCATCACATGACATAATTTTATGTTTATGTTTTAAATGATTCATTTATAATTCTAGTTGAAGTATGTGAGATGTCACTTTATTAATTAAGTGGAGACTCCGTGAAATACTTTGTGGTGTGCTTATTTAGTGATACAAGGGAGGTGGGATAGTGACTGGCTATGGGCTGGCCAACGGAGGGATGGGACAGAACTATTGGGCTTATTTTGGACTTTATCCATCGTCTAGTATGTGGAAGGGTCCAGTGATCGAGACTAGCTCATTCTAACAGGCCCAACCGAGTAGGTTTATCCTGCCCCATCCACCTGACTACAGAGACAAATCCAGTCTCCGAAACGTTGTGGTCTTTTGTCTTCCACATACCAGACGATGGATTAAGCCCAGTAGTTCTGTACAGCATACACCATCGTCAGAATCCTTTCAAGTCTATTGGAGGGGTTGGAGTTTGAGTCCCAGTAGAGTTTTCTCTTCTCCACATTTTCCAGACTGACTCAGGGGCCCACCCAGCCTACTATCCAATGGGTACTGGGGGCTCTTTCCCTGTGGGTAAAGCAGCCAGTGTGTAAAACTGACTATTCACCTCCAGCTAGTTCCAAGGTAAAGAGAATATGGATCTATACATCCATTCCCCCATATGCCTTCATGGCGTAGTGCTTCATTAGTTAAGTACAGGGACAACTTTTCCTTTATTTAGTGATACAGTATGTCTATAGATATGTGTTGAAATTTATTAACTGTATACATTGTTATATTTGTGCTGAATAGTCTACTGGATGACGGGTGTTGTATTTGGAAAAGGGAGTGTGCACGTGTACTGCTTCTGTAGCTATTGCATTAGCCAACATGAGTTCAGTAAGTCGGATTTGAGAGCTTGGAATACATCTGTTTCTTGAAAGATATTAATAACTGATGGCTCCATACAGGACTGACATGTTTGTATGTCATGACATTAAAAAACACAACCAAAAACAATTAAGAAGGAGGGAATGTATAAGACAGACCTAAGGTGTTTCTCCTTTATGAACACTGCAGAGACTAAGCAAGTCCCTCTTCACAGAGTTAAGTGTTACATGCTCCGTCTTATGACACTAGACATGTTGCAGAACGAGAATTGAAAATTGAAGAGAATTTACAAATAGATCACATGTTTTGTTGTTTTTCGAGTATGGATTATAGTGCATGTTGCTGCAAAGTGGTAACAGGTGAAGTTAAGCAGGCATAGAGCTACTCATGCTGAATATTTCTCATCAGTATCATGTCAGATTATCTCTGGGTCCCATCTGGTGAGCTGCTGTGTACATTTCTGGAGTAAAGACACTTCCAATTGAAGTGTTCCTGAAAATATTGTATACGTTAAAAATACGTAAATCAAGAGCTAATTTTCCGTAAAAAAATAACAAAAATTGCGGGTTTCATGCACAGACCAAGCTAACCCAAAGGGTTATAGATATTTATTCACGTAAGGTGTGTTCCTTGGTTTGTTGTTTTATTTCAAATTTTATGCCATGGCTTTTGTTCTCTTCAAACCATACAGTCATTTGCTGAGTTTCTTGTTACTGATCACATAATAATTTGAAGTGAAGACTAAAATTACATGAAGTAAGAACTTTCCTGTTACTGATCTTCCAAACTTATAAAGTGAGAACTAAAAGAATTCAATTTTATAAGTGGTACATGTTCTTCAATCATGTTAAACCAGATTCTCATAAATCAAGAAATTTCTATGTATTATATCTGAGAAATTCAGTTTTATTTTATAGTAAATTATTTTTTAGGAATGTATCTGCTCTCATGTGTCCAACATTCCCACTGGATATGATACTTTGTGTGATTTAAGATCCACGTAATACAACAGAGTTGTTTGCCAAGCTGAAGAGAGAGACTGATGATATTAAAGCTTTGAAACACCAGAAACCTCGTCGGAAGATCTTCAGCAACTGGGCAAAATATGAAGAACCACTGCCATATCTGGATCATGAAGTAGAGTTACAGGGTGCTGATTTTGAAGCCCTTGTGAAAGCTCCTCTCTCAGGTCAGATGATTTTAAGTGCATTGTTAGTTTGTATTTTTTATGTTACATACCAAAGTAGCTTGTTTAACTATTTGACTGTTTGCCAAAAAATGGTTGCTTCCTCTGCATGAGTTGAAACAGCTGAAATGTTCCACTTTAGATTCTGCATATTATGTTTCAGTTGTAACAAAACAACTTTAAGCAGTAGAACAAACATAAAATTGAAGATCGTGTCTTTTGGTGTGTGATGCTTCATAGTCTGGTAAAATTTGGTGTTTCATAGGAATGTACTGCCCCTGTCTTCAGGGTAGAGTATAGAGATGGAGTCAGAATTATCGATATACACCTAGGTTATGTGATGTCACATCCCAGAAGATGGTACTCTTCATTGTGATGGCCATGAGCATTCACAAGTATAACATTTCTTGTTGTCCACATAGTACAGCAGATATCCCACAGATAGTTTATTCAAGATATTCATCCAATCCACACCAAGATGGAGACATATGAGAAGTCTTAATAAAAAAAAAGATTGTACAGGATTTTAGTACATTGTATGAATTGTTTTATTTTGAGGATTTCTTCTGAAATTTACAGTGCCATATGGAGTGTATTTTGTACATCTACAGTATAACCTCTAATTTATGAGCTCCTGTGCTATGAATACATAATGGAATGTACTTATTTATTGCTTGTTTAGCTAGTGTAAGTTGTTCAAAGTGTCTCAAAAGGAGAACAATCCCACAGGCACAGAATGTGTGCATTAAGTATGCAATCTGCACACTCAAAAGATGAGAGAAGCACTGGAAAGTGGAATGGTAGGAGTTTAAAGTTTATTTTTTGCTTGTAATTTATGTGTTTCAGGACATTTTCGGTTCAAGTCTGAAAGAACATGGGATGCTGATGTTACATCTCTGTCTGGAGAGCTGTTCTCATTGGATACTGATTTGCTGGCAGATGGTTTGGCAACCATCCCACTCTGTCAGAAATTAGATCTTCCAGTTTCTTTATTTTCCGTGAGTGTTACGGCGTAAATTGAAATGTTTTAAATAAAAAGATTTTTGTATTATTTCCAGAGGACTGAAGGTGTGAGAAATATATTTTGGGAACCTAACACATTCTCTGATCTTCATAACATTTTGGAAAATAAGTGTAGGAGAAGTGGATACAATTCTAGTAGAAGACTGAAGGAAAGAAACCACTAGGAAGACCCATGCATAGATAGTATTACAGTGGATGTGAAATAGGTTTGGAGGGTGTGGACTAGATTCATCTGGCTAAAGGTAGGGACCAGCAGTGAGATTTTGTGAAAACATTAATGAACTTTTGGGTTCCATAAAATACTTGGAATTTCTTGAGAATCTGAGCAACTGTTAGCTTCTCAAGAAAGGCTCAGCTCTATGGGGTTAGTGAAGTTCAGTTTAGTTTGGTTTAATTTAGTTCAGTCTTGTCTAATTTACTTAAGTTTACTCATAATTAAAAGTTCTTAGTGTAATGCAGACTTTATTTAAAAAAATGGTTCTCCTTAGTTCTCAGGCTGGACCAGTCATGCTGAAGCAAATGGTTATGCGGTTCAGTGCCTACCAAAATATGTACAATATCAAAACAGTGTTTGATTTGAGGTGCTCACAGCAGTGGTTGTAAGGAGTTCACTCATCTGAGATATAGTGCCATATGTTGAAAGTCAGCCAATGTTTCAGAGGGGCATATTACCACCATCTTCTAGGTCATAGAATAAGCCAAGGAGGAAATCAGCATGAAGCAGGTGGCAAGCAGAGCAATCCATTTACCAAACTTTTGGGTTTCTATAGGAAACAAGAGGGAACTGCAAGACAGCTCATCGTTTCCCATTGTCTCACTCACAGAACAGATTGAAGCAATAGAAGACAAGACAAGGGTAACTAGTTTTTTCCCCTGAAAAAGGCCACTATTGCAGATCTGGGAATGTAGGGGGGACAAGTAGTAAGGGTGTGGTGGCAGAGAACTGAGGAGGTTGGGGAAGAAGACATGAGCATGGGTTTTACACATGCAGTGGGGGATAAAAAGGGCAAATGTAGTGACAGGAGGCTGGGACAGGAAAGAAAGGCTCGAGAGATTTGAACACTAAATTCAGGAAGATTTTAAACAGAGATAATTGAACACTGAGATTATTGATCTTTAAACTCGACATGAAAGAAAATATTAAATTGTGGAATTTGGTTTTCTTTATATATTGTTGTAAGGAAATAATATGATCAAGGAGGGAAATTGTATATTCTACATACTTGGTCTTGAATCTTAAAATATACCATGCTAAGTATGTGGTTGCATAATATGTAAATGAGTATTCACATTAATTTGTTCATTTTCTACATTTGACAGTTCCTTGACATTTATAACCTCATGCTAATGTAGTGTATGTTAGAAATAATGGTTGATAAAATTAGCAATTTTGTTGTTTATTCAGGAAGCTGAGTTGGAGGATATGGATTACTGTGCAAAGCAGTGTGCAGTAAAGTATGAAACTACAAAAAGAACTTCATCAAGAAATCAAGGCAGAAAAGAAGGTTTAGATGCAACAGCTTGCAATTTGTTAAGTGCCCTGCTTATAAAGGAAGGAAATCCTGTGCCACCAGATGAGGATACAGCTACTAAGAAAACTTCTTTAGCACTGAGCTTTGACGTTGCACAAGCACAAGTGCAGAGCGATATTTTAGTAACAGAATCTGTAAATACGGATGAAATTATTAATAATAATAATAATACTAATACGGACCCTGATGTCAAGAAGATTTCAGAAACTGGTAGCATACCTGACATTAATGAAGTGACCGCAGCTGAGAAAGCAGATTTCCCTAAGACGTCATTATGCAAAGTTCCGCGAAATGAAGGACAGCATCATAGCATACCTGCAGAAGAAATTAATCATGAACCTGAATCATGGAGTAGAATTATTGCAGCAGCTGTGACACCTGGAACTGAAGTTTTTCATTCATCTGGAGCAGTGACAGCAGAGGTTAGAAAACAAGCAATACAGCAATCTGATTTTGAACAAACAGAACGTTTTCCACAATCTGTAGTACCACTGGACCAGCGATCTAGTAGACGCAAGTCCAGGGGTGAAGCACGGGCTGCGGAAGTCCAGAAAGTAGAGGGTCAGAAGTCGCAACGAACAGATGATTTGGATTTCCTTTTGTCCTTGAAGGGGCCTGTAAAGGAAGCCCAGATATCGAGCCTGAGGCCTTCTCAAGTTACTAAACCAACTCTTGAAGATGGTAAGTTAAGGTCTCCATTTCCAAGGCCCTTATTTTACTTGTACATAATATAAATGTACTCTATATGTACCATATTTATGTATATATAGGTCACTGAATTGTTTAGGTATCATCCATTTTGTTGTAGGAAATGTAGAACCTCTTAATTTTTTAAACATTTTTATTTAATTTTCATGAACTTGCTAATTATTATTTTTGTCAAATCGTGTACATTTTTCAGTATATGCAAAAGAAACTGAAGAACAGCCAAACTCACATTACCCCAGGAATTCTTCGTGACATGATATGCCTCAAAGTGTTTGACCGTACTTTGTGGTAATGGGTCATGTTTCATCACTATGGAAAACAGATGTCACTGCAGTCTTCCAGACACAGGTCCAGAGCATTGTGAAGTAATTTTGCTCTGTTTAGTTTTTCTATTGTTCTTTTAAGGACATTCTTCCTTAGTAGTTTCATAGTCCCTGCAGAATCAGTCTGCTGTAACTATGGGAATTTACTCAGATCTGGAAAATTTTAGAAGTTGTCACGTGAGATTGTACTTGTATATCCCTTAAGAGGCTGTGGTTAGTTCTTTGGCAGTTGTTTTATTCATGTCACTGCCGATAAGAAGAGGCTGTACTGCCATAGTCTTCCTTGCAACAATGAATGACCACACCTGGCCAATACTAGACTCCCACTTCAAATATCTTTCTACTGAACTATGAGGGCTTCAGATGGAGGTAAAAGAAAAAGTAAAGTGGTCTCTGTGCTACTAATTAAGCATTACACCATGAAGGTGGATGTGTAGATCCACATTGTCTTGACCTTGGCACTAGCTGGAGATGAGTGGTCAGCTTGACGCCATGGCCGTTTTACCCCTGGGGAATGAGCCGGCAGTTCCCATTGGATAGGAGGTTGGGTGGACCCCAGAGCATGTCTAGACTGTGGAGAAGAGAAAAATCTTGACCCTACCTGGAGTCGAACTCTGAACCCTCGGTCATCCAGTCCGTAGCCAGGCACTATACCAGCTATGCTATTCAGACTCCTCAGATGGAGGTAATGCTTTAAAAATACCTGCTTTCCACTGGCTTAGTGACTTGTCTATGAAAATATTCTGGCAATGTGGTAAAGAATTTTAAATTTAGAATTTAAATGGTCAAGGATGTGACTGATTTGGAACAATTTTGAGTAACCTTCATACCAGTCTTTTTTGCTGCTGTTTGTGAAATATAAGAACCTTAAAATTCATTTAAAATCAATCAAAAAAGAGGAAAAAGTTGAAGAAAGAAAGGAAAGATTCAAGCCAAATATGGGTATGGCTGCCAGCTGATTGCATGAAAAGTGCATCCTCAATCTTTGATTTATCTTTCTAATGTCTTTAGTGTGAATAGTGCTGGAACAGTGTACTAGTCGTATTAAGTGTCATGACTGGCTTCCACCCATTTGCCCTTGATATTTTAGAAAATAAGTTCTCATTAGTATTTTTATATTGCTGAGCATAGTGGTTTATTTCCGCTGCAATTTCTCTAACAAATTCTTTGCCAAAAATTTAACAGTGTTCCTAATTTCAATCATACCCTGTCTGCTGCTCTCATGTCCACCAGTTCCTATGACCATTTATCTTTGTGTTTTATAGTTTATCATGTCTTGCTACACATATCAGCATCACTAACATATACATTCTTGTCCATTGAACGGTAACTGACATTGCAGAGGAATATGCAGCCTTTGTCTTCAGGGTTGAAAACAAAACCGCATGAAACAGCTTGCTACTTGCTTCACGCTTGTTTCTTGCTTGGCTTGTTCTTCTGCCCTGAAGAAGGAGGCGGCATGTTCCTCCAAAATGTCAGTTGAATTTCGATGGACTACACAGCGTTATATCCCAGAAAATAGAACTCTTCATAACCACCACTGTAAGAATCTCAAATCCTACAGGTAATTTGTCTGTTTGTTAGGCTAATTACATTTGTATCCTCCTACACAAATGGTGCATCATTTATATAAAGAGACATGACAAATAAATATGTAACACAAAACATTTTCTGTATTTTGCTCTTTTTCAGGTTAGGTCTCTGACTTCACTGTTTTCTTATTTATAATGTTATGTGTACACGTATTGCTAGGCTGCAGGTTGGTAAACAAGTTCCCATGAAGACAGATTCTTGGTAAACAGGCCGTTGCTAGGTTACGCAACAATAGGTTGAATGTTTATAGCTCATTGCTAGGCAACTATCAGTGTGTCAATGGACTGGCGAGGTAGCTATCACGTGAGTTGTTTTCAGTGTGGGCCACGCCATGCCCAGTGCTAAGCAACAGAACTGCAGACACCTCTACTAAAATAGGTGTTTTCTGTGGAGTCCGTGGCGAAGGTTTATAGAGGACAGTGAAGATCGTTTGCAGTCAGTCATAGAAGAGAAGCCATGAATCAAGGACACAAAACCATAATGGAAGGGAGTCCAGAAGAGTGCAGAGCACTTGAGATTGCAAGGGTGAGAATGGAGCATGTCCGTAGTGTATTGTGAAGATTAGTTGAGTACAGATTAGGACAGAGGAGTACAAAGTGATTGAAGACAAGAAGACTTCATAGTGATTTTGAAGTGCTAGTTTCTATGTTGAGATCCATTGCAAGGAAATGACTAGTGAAGACTGGAATCCTAGTGCGTGTGCAACAGTGGACTGGAAAGTGTGTAAATCAGTAATATCACTGTATTAATTGTAATTAAGAGAGAGAGTGTAACCGAAGTACTCATAAATCCAATCATCCGAACTAGAACCCATAATTTTTGTCACACGTACCACCCTACATGTGACAATACTGCAGTAGGACAAAGTAGTTTTTGTGCTGTTTTTAAATCTGCCATTTTTGTTTTAGATGATGAAGCTGTTGGACCAGATTCATCCCAGTTTCCATGGGTGATACCACAGAAACAGACTGAAGACCTTGAGGACTGGCTGGATTCAGTGCTAGATGACTGACTGAAGTTTACTCACATAAGATAGCAGAACTGTTGCTTTTCTTCATCTATATTCTATACTCTTTAACTGTAATTTCAAAATTTACATCTGATGTCCACGACACATTTCTGCATTAAATATAATCATGTTCTGGAATATCATTACCAACAACTTTCCATATTGAAGAAAGCAGTCTTCTGGGATGTGGCACCATGTAGATATTGTGTTAACCAATGTTTCGGAGGAGCGTATCGCCTCCATCTTCACGGTAGAATAAAAACCGCAAGTGAAGAACCAGTGAGAGCAGGTACTGTTAGTCTGTTAGTACCTGCTCTGGCTGGTACTTTGTGTGCGTATTTTCTTCTTCTACCCTGAAGATGGAAGCGATACGTTCTTCCAAAATGTTGGTTAACACAATATCTACACAGTGCCACTTCCCAGAAGACTGCTTTCTTCATAGTCACCCCCGTGAAACCTTGCACCACAAGTGATGGCATGTGATCTTCAAAGGAGGTGAAGGCGTAGAGGAAACAGTAGTGTCATGGGTTTACCTCTCATGTTTACAAGATGTATTCATTCGCACAAAGTGAGATATTAGACTGACCTATTTTAAAGGATGCTATTTTGTTCGATGTAACCCCATGCACTTCAGTAGAAGTTCATTGATGCAGTGCTATGAGAACCTCAAATCCAACATGTTCTACTTTACATCTCTGCAGACTTGTCCATGTTTGTGATTGTACCCAAAAGAATAAAATATTATTTCTGAGTGTATGCCAGCACTCAAGGTGTGAGCTGTACCATTCCTTCAAATACACAGTATATGTGAGATTGTAATTTCTCACAGTAGTGAATATGAAGGTTCCTATTTTCTAGGGTGTGATATGAGGTGATTTGATAAAAAGGTACAGATGTTTCAGTGGAAACTGCTGTATCTGTTTTCAGGATAGATGAAGCAGTGTCCTCTTCTACATAAAGTTGGAGATAGCAGTTTCCTTTGAATTGTCAGACTGCTGAGCAAGAAATGTTGAATAACTTGGAGAAACTATGTGCATATTTAATTATTGTAAATACATTGTTTACATAAATCTGTGATAAATAAATTAATACAGAGATGTTTGCATTGTGTTTTTTTTTTCTTCTTCTTTTGAGAGGTATAACAGTTGGGCAGTTTCAAACTTTGTAACCCATTAACTGGATCCAACATTTCCAACCTGTACCACGTTATTAGCTAAAACTGAATATGCAGATGTTCAGTGTACACAAATTTGAAAAGGGATAAGATTGTGTTACCACTGTTGCATGCGTGAAGAAATATTTTTTCTTTCAGTTATTTATTTAAGGAGCTCCATATTACAAAAGAATATTTGAAATTTATGCCATTTTTATTGTTATATTGCCTTCTTCCTTGCTTGATTTATCGAAGCAACAACAAGCAAATGCATCCATGGGGTAGCATCAAAAGTATAGGTTACATTTACATAAAAGGCATAAAACATGAGGTATGAATTGGGCTTTTATGTAAAGATGTTATATGAAGTTTTACCAGTATCTAACAAAAGATACTTAAAATACAAATGAAACTTCATTTTTAACAACTGAAGAACTGCTGAACAGGTTTGTGTTAAATTTTATGTTGTGGGTGTTACTGAATGGTCAGTTTTTCCCAGTGTTTGTTAAAATCAGACTACAGTATGGGACACTGTATGTAAAGCTCTACATGCATTCTGCATGTATGTTGAATGTAACTCATGAAGTATTAATTAGTGGAGAAAAAGTTTAAAGCAAAAGCTTTGGAGAAAAGTGAAAAACACATTTTGTACTCCACACACACATTTTCCTTAAATCCCTTTTTCTTTTCAAGTAGTTGAAAGTGAGAGAACATGCCAGATTGTTGGGCAATGGATACAGTTGCTAGCTTCTTTGTGTTGTGCTTTGAGGGACCTTGCATTTGGAAATCTGATTACTGTTAATTGCACTCATTGTCTTCATCAGAAACAAGTACAGGAATAATTGGTTAGTACACTATCAGAGTAATGCAGTGATGACATTCTGAATTTTAGATAATTAAAGAGGAAGAACTAGGATATATATGGTATAGCACGCTGATATATTGGGTTTTTAGACTTTATCCATCGTCCTGGTTTTTAAGATAACTAATAACGAGTACTGGAAACTCATTCGCCAGGGGTAAAGCGGCAGGGGCGTGATGCTGACCACCTCCACCCATTACCATGGTCAAGAATGGCACAGCTATTCCTTCACTCCCCCATAGCTAGGCACTTAATGAATTAAGCACGGGGCCAACTTTAATTTACCGCCATTTTTTTTTAATTATTTTCGTGTGCTAGATGGGTATGACATATAGACTTTCGCACCATTATGCCAATTAATCTTAATGTGGAGTACTCATTTCAGCAAGAAATTGTGATGACTGGCCAACACAGCATCGTTAAAAATGTGTATAGGCCATGTTATTGTCAGGTTATAGTCTCGTAAGATCTTGCTTTGTTTAATGTGCCAGTAGGTGAGAAAATGTATGCATTTCTGCTACCTGAATTCTATTATGGAATACGGTATAATTTTCTGGGCTAATACGCCTAACAGTATCAATGTCTTTAGGATACAAAAGCGGGTAATTGAATGCAATTGAATAATTATGAATGCAAAAACTAGAGACTCCTGTAGGGAACTATTTAAAAAATTAAAAATATTGCCAATGTATTCCCAATATATATACTCGATAATACTGCTTGTCGTAAAAAATAAAGATCTGTAAAAATCGAATCATGAGATTCATAGCTTCAGTACTAGACATAGCACAAACTTGCATCTTCCTATATCACGTTTGACAGTTTTCCAAAAAGGACCTTACTACTATGGTATCAGAGCCTTACGCGCCGGCCGCTCTTTACCTGTTACCCATCATCCTTTACACATTTCTGTTTTGAGGTTGAGTCGACCCCAGGGCCATAGTGCAGCTGGAGAGACAGGTCAATTGAAAAAAACAGTGACCTCATCGGGAATTGAACCAGAGAGCTACCGGCTTGTTGCAGAGTGTCCTTGTTTTGGTAATACTAATCTTTGAATTAAACCAAGTAGTATTCAGTGCTGGATTCTAGAATGTAAAGTGTTTCATTCGGTTGTATCATCAGGGATTGGGGAGGCGGGATTTTACATTTCTGACAAAATATAATCCTAACATATTGACATAGAATATGAAGCATTCTGTTTAGAAAATGGGCCAATATAAATAAAATACAGGATGAACATACTTTCGGACAAGTTTCACAGGATATTTTTATTTATTCTTTATTAAAAAGACAAAGTAAAATTATTCCTGTGCTTAATTAATTAAGCACTGTGCCGTGAAGACGTGGGGGAGTGGAGGTATAACTCCACCATACTTGACCTCTGCACTAGATGGGGGTGAGTGGTTAGTTTCATTCCCCTACCCCTTTGTCCCCTGGAGAAGAGACTACAGTACCCATTGTATAGGGGTTGGGTGGGCCCCAGAGCCGGTCTGGATGCTGTGGAGAAGAGAAAAATCTTGCACTGGCGGGAATCAAACCCGGACATTCCAGCCCATAGTTTGTCTGACTGAGCTATCCCGGCTCCCTAATTTTTTATTGACTTATTAATTTTTGTTTTTTATGAGAAGGTACCGTTGCTTACCGTCAGAAAGAAAACTCCTATTTTGAAATACAAGTAGAAAATGTCTTGGTTCCTACTGAGCTTTCAGGGAATTACCCGTGGAAGAATAAACTGGTCACGTGTTGGAAATAATAAAACGCTGGATAAAGAAAGCGTTCGATTTTAATCTAGTACACGCAGTTTTTTTTTTTTTTTGTATCTAAATGACAGTTCTAAGAAACGATTTCTAAAGCTGAAATTATACTCTGTTTACTTTGGTTTCCATTATAAGCAGGTTTTAATTTTTTAGATGTGAGGTTCTTACGGTGTGAGTACCAAGATTGCGCTGCTCTGGAATGTTAAGTCGTGTAGTGTGTGAAGATGGATACCAACGTTTCGGAGAATGCCTTTTCAATTCTGAAGATGGAGAGAGAATTCTCCAGAAAATTGGTGGTTATCTACCAAACTACAAGGCGTTATATCTCAAAGATCTTTATAAGTTCTTAGTTTATTATTATATTACCCGAAAATTTAAATTAAAACCTGAAATCTGATGGCAGGTTTCTCGTCAGAATGAAGAGTGTGTCGCGGAGATCTCGTGAAGCCGGGAAGTAACAGGTGCCTGAGAATTAGCAGCTGGCTGCCCCTAATTACTTTGCTTTGAGATTAATTCGCGATCAGTTATTCATCACAGTCAGCCTGAAGTTAGTTCGAGTTATAATGGCCCACTTAGCTCAGGCATTGTAGTGAGAAAATGAGGAAGAGCTTGAACATAATTCATCAGTGCCTCGTTCACGAAAATGACGTGTCTGACACGAATTTACGTACGGCTTGAACGGAGCATGACGTGAAATGAAGTCGGTTGTAGACAGACAAAAGTTACAAAGTTGTAATGACTACTTCGCACGCGGATGTTCGATCTATATTTCGATTCTCTGATGGCCAACAAGCGACCCTAGGGGAGTTTCTGGGGTCTATTATGTCTTGGTTAACTATGTTTGTGTGAGAAGTTGAGGTTTTAGCTATACCAAAATGAGATTTATGTGAGTAAAATATATGGTGCGTCCCTTATAGGCAAATTACCTTTAATTCTAACCAAATCTTCAAGTTGTGCGTGCTGTCACTGTAAACGGGGTCCCAATGACCGAGTTACGGTGGTACAACTACTGCATGCAATGTGAAAAAATGTTACTGCCAATATTGTTAGTTAAGTTTCAGTCTTAGACTGTGTTCATTTTAGTGCCTGATAAATGTAAAATCCTATGCAACCACAGCAGTTCTTGTAATATAAATTAATCTACTGACAAAATTTAGTTATCGGTGTCAGATTTCGAAAAATGGCACACGAGGTTTTGGGAGAATTTTGGGGTATACTATGTTAGAGAAGCATAATACATATTTTTGTTGCATTTTTTAATGGGAAGTGGATGGATTGGCTCAGAATTGTGTCCTATTGCAGCCTTTATTATTAGCGATATTGATTTCAAGATTTCTGATGCCAGGGATTAGCGTAGTTGTCTATATCTCTATTGTTACTGGTTGTTTTCCTTCTTCTGTGATTGTGGTAATGAATTTAGACGGAGAAATTTTTTGAGAATATGGGCGACTATTAGCTTCTCAAAAAGCGCTCTATTCTCTGAATATATGTACATCAGTTGTAAATGATCTGGTTACAAAACTCAGATAATTTTCAAATTTATTAACGAATGGTCATTTATAGACAAGATCATTATGTTCATAACTTCATGGAGCTGAGTCCTTGAGAAACTGCCAGTCACACAGCTACTCAAGAATTTCTCAACATTTTATGGAACCCGAAGCTTCAGTACCCTGTTCACAAGAGCTCTCCACTGATCCCTATCCTGAGCCAGATCAATCTAGTCCGTACCACCTCATCCTATCTCTCTATGGTCCATTTTATTATCTTTTATATCACCAAACCTTTTATAACGCAGGGCTTCTCTAGCCTGACTGGCTGCTCACGACGCTACGATAGGTTGCCTCGTCTTTCGATAGTACGTGGATACTGTCGTAGCAGCCGTTAGCGGTCGTTAGCAGTAGTTGATGGCAAGTTTGCGTTGCGAGAGGACGTTACGGAGCGTTGCATCTTGGGAATCTTGGGTACTTCGCTAGCAGCCTCATAAGGTGAGCGACCTCAGGACTTCGAGGTGCAAGTGCATGATCTGCATGATGGTGTATAGCTAAATACGAAATCCATCTTACATACTGTACGTGCAGAGAGCTCGAGTTTCTCTTAGAACGAAAATAAATCTGCTATTATTTTTTTTATTGCTAGTGGGGTGGGACTAAGTCCCTTGTACGGCGGCCACTTCTGGCCTATTGTACCAACCCCAGCCATCAACACAACAATTAATAAAAATAAACCAATCGAACTGCTCACATTGGTTTTACTTGGCAGTTCCTACAGATTTCGGTCCACATCTAGCACAACTGGACATCAAATTTAGGCAGATGCGTTGGCTAACTGGCAAAAAGTCAGAACTGTCTACCGAGAATAAACTCCTAGTTTACAAGACAATACTGAAGCCCATTTGGACTTAAGGCCCACCATTATGGGGAACTGCAAGTACATCCAATATAGAAATGTTACAGAGATTTCAAAACAAAGTACTTCGCGCTGTAGTCAATGCACAGCGGTACGTCCCAGACTACTACACGCCGATCTAGGCATAGCCGCAGTACGGGAAGAAACCACAAACATCAACCGTAAATACAAATACAAGATAATAGGACATCCAAATGAACTGGCAACCACACTATTAAACGATGCAGACGAGCCCAGAAGACTGAAAAGGCATAAACCAAACGACCTAACGACGCGCTTCATATAAATGCAACATACAAAATAACAAAGTCACACTCGAAATAGATCCGTAGAGAATGCTCACTGGAGCATTACTCTCCCCAACATGTTCTGTCTTAGTATTTAAGCTTTAGATTAAGTATCACATAAGATGTACTTATAGCCCACAATGGGCTGATTGTACAGATACATGGAGATAGAAAAAAAAACATTTCTAGTTACTGAACTGACCCAATATGGACCCATATTACTGCCACTCATCACAATCATATAATGCGCTCAACCGTCAAGAGGTTGCAAGAATTTTCCTACTTTTAAAAAATTGTTAGAATTTAAAATTCAAACTTAGAATTATTTAAAATTCTTTGTCGTTGAATGTTAAATTCTGTTGTTTTCGTGATTTTGTTCTGCATTGTAGGTTGTCCTCCGTCCGGAGTTATCTGCTATACTATCTGGAAGTAAATTACCACGTGTATTACTCTCTAAGTTTGGGCTTATTTATTATTTACATATCTCATGGTATAAGTATAAATTACTTATATGCTATAAAAGTTATTCCCGATAATGCTATTAGTCTTTAGTTTGTTCTCCCTTATCTTTTTGCACATGTCGCCCTGATTTTGTTTCCTGCGAATGAAAGTGAATGAACTTATTTGTTATCATACTGAGTTAGATTTCGTCAAAAGTTATTACTGTCTTAATTCTGAAATTCATATTTTGGAATATATTATTATTACTTATTTTCTTATGCTTGTACTGTTTATTCCATCTGTGTGGACGTTTATGTCGTGTCTGTTCCTGGTTACAATGTGGACTGGCTCGACTTCCAAATATTCTCAACATATACTTGTACTTGACACGAGACGTACATATAATACAATCGAAGAGATAATGGAAGTACTACAAATAAAAATGAAGTGTCAATTTATTAATACATTCGAGCGTTTTCAAATATACAATTTTAGTAGAAAGAAACTACAAATGAATGACACTTTCCCAGAAATGCATAACCATAATTGGACCTCATAATAAAATACAATAATACACATCTAGAAAACCCCCTCCCACAACACAGCCCCACCCCACCCCAAGCACTGCACAATTACCCCCTTCCCCCGGAACATCATATGACCTAAGCCGACCTAAGCTACACACCCACTATAACATAAACACCAACCAGCGTACATCGGTTCACATTGTAACCAGGAACTGATACGACATAAACGCCCACTCAGAAGGAACACACAGTACACCATAAAGAAAGTAAGTAACGATAACACATTCCAAAATTTNAAGTGCAACAATTGATTGTAGTTCTTTTGTCTTGCCCTCTTCTACACTACATGTTTCGGCCGCAAACGGCCATCATCAGGTGTATGCACTTACGTAGCTGTTACACTGCATCTAGTTTAAAATTTAAAACCATAAGTCTTCACAATTGTTCTTTTCGTAGTTACCAACAGGTTTCGATTTATCAGAATCTACTTCGCTGATATCTGTCTCCTTTGTGCATTATCTTTGTTCCCTACACGTAGTAAAGATAAGCAGTGGCCGCACACAGGGAGCCTACACAGAATAACAGTGCTGAAAACAAGAAGTAGCCGCTGCAGCACTACAGACATAGGGCGAGTAACCCTGAGAATTTTAATTTTTAAAAGAATTTTAAATTAGAACTGAAGATTTTAAAATTGCCGGTTCATAATATCAAAATTGACAAGTGTAGGCAACAAAGATAATGCACAAAGCAGTCAGATACCAGCGAAGTAGATTCTAATAAATCGAAACTTGTTAGTAACGACGAAAAGAACAATTGGTCAAGACTCGTGGTTTTAAATTTTAAACTAGATGCAGTTTAACAGCTACGTAAATGCATACACCTGATGATGGCCGTTTGCGGCTGAAACATGTAGTGTAGAAGAGGGCAAGACAAAAGAACTACAATAAATTGTTGCACTTGGGACGGTGTTTATGTCATATATCGTATAGAGTGCAACAGGATGCTTAAATATAATATTGCAATACGATAACAATGATAAGTTCACTCATTTTCATTCATAGAAAACAAAATCACAGCGACATATGCAAGAAGATAAAGGAGAACAAACTAAAGACTAATAGCATTATCGCGAATAACTATAGCATATAAGTAATTTATACTTATACCATGAGAGAGATATGTAAATAACAAATAACCCAAAACTTAGAGAGTAATAGACGTGGTAATTTACTTGAAGATAGTATAACAGCGAACTCCGATCAAAGGGCAACCTATAATGTGGGGAAAAGAAATCACAAGAACAACATAGAATTTTACATTCAGCGACAAGAGAATTTTAAGTAATTTTAAATTCTGACGAATTTTAAAAGTAAAAAAATTCTTGCAACCTCTTGACGGTTGAGCTCATTACATGATTGTGATGAGTGGCAGTAATATGGATCCATATTAGGTCAGTCTAGTCACGGACCGCGCAGAAAACACCTCTCATCATTGTTGTAGTTCAATTGTTCCATGGGGATTTGTTTATTTGCGAAGCCGTTAATCAGAAAGAGTTCTTGTATGTTTGCTTATCTCGCGGTCGTTGCCCAGCAACGGGTCTACATGCTACATTATTAATAAAGGATGAAAGGGCGAAGAAATGTAACATTAACTTGAAGTACTCTGTATTTGCTGCAGTACAATATAGCACTCTTCGGTGGCTCTTCCGGGGATGCCCCGTTAGAATTTATAACTACTTGAGGAGTGATGTATGCCCCTGCGACAAGTTGCATCGGATTCCTGCTTGGGCTTTCCTTATTCATTTAACGACGCGTTCAATGGTTCATATTTCAAACCTCTGTTGTCGAATGGTGATTCGAACTGCGATGTTACATCTGGCAGGGACCGACTCTTTCGGACATAGCTACTACATATCGAGTGTAACAGAAATCTCCCAGTTTACATTTATATAAATTTAGTTATTGTAAAATGTAAGGAACTACGGAGCATGTCCTCTCGTAATACGAACCTCACATTCACGTGGTAGGATCTTTTTTCATTAACGAGGCTACAGTGATCGGGTTGTTGTAGTATAACCGTTACAATGCGCTTAATTAATTATGTACTGCGCCATGGAGTCTTCTATGAGAGTGAAGATCTGCATTAACCATTCTTGACCTCGACACTAAATGGAGGTGAGTGGTCAGTTTCATGCCCCTCCCTCTTTACCCCCGATGGAAGAGCCCCCGACACCCAGCCTACGAGTAGAGGAAGCTGTGGACACCAGAGACGATCTGGACGCTAGGAGAAGATAAATTTCTTTTTTCCCTTGCCGGGAATCGAATCCCTTCCCGTATCCAGTCGCTATACCGACTGAGCTAACCGGGCTCATACCATTACCACGTATAATGTGCTGTGAGCAAAATATACCTGCCATAAGTCTGATTAAGATAACTTAAGTTCTTGGAGAATGCTGTCTTCTGAGATGTGGCGCCGTGTAGATCTTGTGTGAACCGACGTTTCGGAGGAACTTCGGTTCACACAAGATCTACACGGAGCCACATCCCAGAAGACAGCATTCTTCATAGTCACCGCCGTGACAACCTCAAATCTTGCAGGTGCAGTTCTTGCTTCAGTTTAGTAAGTTCATGTTTGTACATAATTGGCACCGTTTTGACCGAATTCATTAATCTGTTAAAGAAGTTGTTCAAGTTTGTATGAAATTAATAGAGCCTGTCATGGACACCACTTGAATTCACTAGAAACGCATGGGTGTAAAGGCAGAGATTCACATGAAGATCAGATATGAATACATAACAGGAGAACCAGTTAAACAGTTTTGTAAATCGTTTTTACCAATTCAAGTTGGGGGATTAGAGCAACTCAAACCCGTGGAGTTAATTAATTTTAAATATAAGACATGTCTTCTGGGTTATGACACCGTCGTGTAATCTGGTACGTAGGTACAAACATTTTGGATGCATTAGGTTCTTCCAAAACATCGGTACCCGTCTGTCAGACTAAACGCGCTGTCATAACACAAATAATTCTAAATATAGAAATGCCATATTTGATTTCCGAAACTAAGAAATCAAACAACGCACTCGGAGGTATAAGGATCGATTCGCAATTCTTGAGATCGCCTATTATGCTCAGGTTTTTCTACAGTAAAAATTTTTTCGCTTAGTGGGGGGTGGAGTCCAACTGGGTCCACTCAGCACGGCGGCCACTGATTGGCCTATTGTAGCCTGCCTCGTGTGATTATGATGATGGAGAATTTGGTGGAATGAAGATTGGCAGGGGAAACCGAAGTACTCGTAGAAAACCTGCCCCAGCGCCACTTTGTCCACCATAAATCCCACTTGAGTAGACCCCGGCATCGAACCCGGGCCGCCGCGGTGGGAAGCCAGCGACTAACCGCTTGAGCTATGGCGCGGCCGTTTTTCTACAATAAATTCAGGTGAATTCTGTATAGCATACTTATTTTTTTATTAATATTAATTTGTTTAATTGTAGTTATAATTGTATTTGTAGTTGTATTTGCATTGTATTCATTTTGTGTAGTGTGTCCTTTATTGCTTGTGTACTTTTGTATGCTGTTGTGGGCTTGTTTGAGTGCGGTGCGTTATTTTGTGTAATGTCTGCTGTTTGTGTGTTGTGTCTTATTCTAGTATCACAGCCACCGGGTAACCCCCCATTGTCACTTTAAGTAAAATAATAATAATAATGTTTCATCATTATTGTAAAGCAATTCTTAGATCTTCATTCTTTCAAAATGGGGGCATCCATTTCGTTTGTAGTTCAAATTATACTTTAATGTACATTCAGACTTCCTTTCATCAAAAATGTCTCGACTTCCTTTGTAGTCTTCGGATGTATTTTGTGTTCCGTTTCGTATACTTCATCCCAATATGCAACAAGAAACAGATATTCAGTGAAAATGAAGTGACGCTCTTCCGGACAATTCTCTTGTACTTTGAGCCAACATGCATTCCTTCGAGCCTCGTCTTTATACATATCTCGCATAATACTCTTTCTAAGAACAGATGCTCTGTATTCCGTGAGATCTCTTAATTGCAAATAATTATCGTGCCGGGATGTTATGGCATTATTGCTTATTTTTGGAAGCAATTTAAAAACTTCAGGAAGAAACAGAGGGAGGAGGAATGGGCGGGGGAGAATTGTGGCTTAATAGCGACCTGCAGTATCTTGCGTGGCTTGGTACGACGACCACCGCAATATTTCACGGGACAAATGTCACGTCATTACTTCTGGAGCATCTTCGTCGTCGTCGTCCGCTCGATAAAGACATACACGCACATGTGATAAGGGAAATGCACCGACGGTACCAGGAGACCATGACCAGCATTGGTTTATGAACTTCTGTGCAATTTAGTTTATTCTTGTAAATTGAGTTCTAATTACAATGGATATTGATTACGTGTAAATCAAACACCATAAAGACTATAGTTATTCATTTACAATTGAAAGCAAAGCGTGAGGGTATGTTATTATCTTAATTAACAGTAGCGTAATCAGTGAAAACATGGTCACTGTCCTTCTTTCACAGCTAACAGAAGAGGCTCTTGAACCTCTTGAAGATGTCCGTCCACCAGTTTGTTGCACCAGGCTTACTGTTCCTAAAGAAAAATATAATCCGTCCTTTACTTGGCAACAGTCATAAGCTGCACCAAAACTGAGTGATTCCGTATCCCGATTAGTTTCGATTGTCGCGATGCATCCAGCCATTTATCTGTCTTTTAAGCTTTATAACTTTGTCTTGGGAATAATTTTTACACTATTTGGAGGGTCCTCAGAATACTGGGCCTAAGCTGTAGGTTACTTAACTCATACTCAAATCCGTCTTGCTAATATAGTGTGATAATAGTGTCCTATACGAGGTATCATCCAGACCTGGCAGGGCATTCGCAAGATGTGCTATGTGTAAAGTGTATTTAGGTTCGTAAAGTAAGGGAACTTGAAGCAACTGAAATTTGTTCTTTTTCTAGGTGGGGGTCAGCCACCAGATTTGCTTACAAATTTACACTTCAGCGGTTTAAGACTATTGTTACTGACCGCTCTAGGAAAATAATTTTCAAAAATACTTTTAATTCATATTACTAATATTTGGTATACCGTATTTACGCATGTATAGGCCGCACATTTTTTGCCAAAAATTCAAGAGGAAAACTGGGGTGCGGCTTATATTCGAAATATTCGAAATCACACTTCATTTAAAAAAATATATATTCATAATTAGTAATACAGAGTGTTCTACTCCTGAAATAATATTCCAACAAAATTATTTTTTCTATAATTTCTGTCTGAAAATTGTGCTGCGGCCTATACATGCGTAAATACGGTATTTCTTATTTTCAAAATTCTGATTTTTTTTTTCAAAGACTCCAGGGGATTACAACCCCCCTCCCCATCTACATTCATGTGTACTATACAGATTTTCATCTAAGTTAGTCAAGTAATTAGGTCGAATATGATGACTCTGTTTTTCGAATGTTTTTTAAAATTCAGCCAGGGCAAGCACAAATCTAATGCCGCCCCAGAAAATGAGAAACTCCGTTCATTCTTCCCACTTCCAGGTCAAAACACACAGATTTTCTAAAAAATTGGTAACAGTAACACGAAATTCCCAGACACTGACAAAAACCGTTATTGGTGTTGTTAATTCATCAATTCGTAATAACACTTAGTTTAATGATAATGAAATTATTATTACTGTCATAATTATCAGCTATTTGTTTGTTTACTTTTACTTTTATTCATTATTATTTCTTCCAAGTACTTACTTGTAATTTGTATTTGACTTTTAATAAGTTTGTCTATAATGTAATTAATTCATCTGCACTGTGCTGTGTCTGTGATTGGCCTTGCGGCTGTTGACTCGGCACATTAATAATAAAGAATTGAATTGAATTCTTAAAACGGTTGGTTTACATTGTTGCATAACTTGTTTAAATAACTGCAGATAATATTGACTGAGGATATTAGTGCAGGAGTAACAGACTAGCTGGTTCTCATGACTGTGAAGACTGCTGTCTTCTGAGATGTGACGCTGTGTAGTCTGGTAGATATTTACCATCGTTTGGAGGAACGTGTTTCATCGTCAGGGTAGAAAAGGGTGAAGATTGAGGCAACACATTCCTCCGAAACGTCTGTATCAACCAGGATACACCGTGTGATATGTATCACAGACAGCAGTAATCTTCAAACGTAAAATATCTGTGCGTAATTAAGAACACTACTTTAATTTAACAAGTCGATATAGCGACAGATTACGGGCTCGACGGCAGGACTTCGATTTCCCTCAGGGGCAAGATTTTTATTTTCACCAGTGTCCAGACCCTCTGTAGCGACCATCCAGTCTCCTATCCAATGGGTACCAAGAGCGATTTATCGGTGTTAAAGCGACCAGGACGTAAAGCTGGCCACTCCATCTACTGCCGAGGTTAAGAATGGCGGAGTTATACCTCCACTCCCTGCTTGGTTTTTAAGGTGTAGCGTTTAATTAATTACGCATAGGGACGAATTTACCTTTTATCCTACTTTCATTTGAGAAGTACTAAAAAGTATAATCCCAAGCGGCTGCCTGTTTGGTTCCCTAAGCTGTTAACGCTGGTTCTGCACTCGCTGAAATACCTTGTACCATATACGAGTACTACTGTTTGAGACTTCTAGGAATGTGAGCCACGTACAGGGGGTGCTGACAGCACTCCACCCCATGTGAGGGATGTAGTGCATGATAGTAGGAGTAGCAAAAATATTAACTCACCAGGGGTGTAATATTTACTGCAGCTCACCAACACACACTACACTATATGAACCAACTTCATGAAGCTGACTACTTCTTGGGAAGCCGCCAGTATCTGAGCTACTTAAGTATTTCTCAATATTTTATGGAACCCTCAAGGGCCCTCCACTGGCACCTATCCTGAGCCAGATCAATCCAGTCCACATCACCTCATCCTATTTGTCTAAAATTCATTTAATATTATTATTCCACCTATCTACAGGTCTTCCTGGTGGCCTCTTTTCTTCTAGGTTTCCCATCAAAACCCTATGTGCATTCCTTTTCTTCACATACATGCTACATGTCATCCCCATCTCATCTTGATTTGATCACTGTAATTATATTTGGCAAAGGTATAAGTTGTGAATTCCCTTGTTAGGCAGTCTTCTCCAGTCTCCTATTATTCAACGAGTTCTATCTTCTGGGACATAATGCCATGTAGTTCATTGAAAGTTAACCAAAGTTTTGGACTAACATGTCACCTCCATCATAAGGGTTGAAGAATTGCTGCCTACTTCATGCTGGTTTCTTCCTTGGCTAATTCTTTTATCATGGAGGTGAGGCAACATTTTCCTCTGAAACATCAGTTGACTTTCAGTGGACTACATGGTTTTATATCCCAGAATACAGAACTCTGTATAACCACTTATGTGAGAACCTCAGTTCCTCCTATTATTTAATCCCTCTTCAATTCAAGTATTTTCCCCAGCACACACTACACCTCATTACACAACACTGTACTACACTACATTGCAGTGCAATACTACAATAGACACTTCTCATTATTACAGACAATGAAAATGTTAACATTGTTCTTATGCTGGCTCCTGCAGCAAATATTTTCAAACATTGTATCAGACAGCTTTCATTTTTATTGTAGTAGCCATAAAACACTGTTTCTTCCACTTATACATCCCCACATAACCCCACTTCTTCAGAGTTGAGTCTCTTAACTGTAATTGAACACTGTTGTTATACTAATGAATAAAATAATTTTCAGACATGAGTGGAGGAACCGTCCCTGAAACAACCCGTGATCCAAGGATTGTTTATCTTGGTCGTTATGTCCAGAGGACACTAAAACTCAAACCTGAGAAGTGGAACAGACTTTTTGCAGTAGAGGAGTATAGAACTGCTGTAATGGATTTCCTAGATAAACCCGAGCCATTGGTAAAGTAAAGTAAAATATTTATTTTGTCTCTATAGATCATTGTTACATGATATAAGACAAGTCAGTTACTATACAATAAGATTACAATAAGAGAATAAAGTTACAATACTTAAAATTGTTTACAATAGATTACAATAGTTAAGATTTCATATAGTGTGAGGTGGAATCCATATTAGGTCCCCTCGGCATGTCAGCTTCCATATGTCCTATTGTACCTGTACTGGTGATAATGCTTATGGAGAATTTGATGGAATGAGGATTGGCAGGGGAAACCGAAGTACTCAGGGAAAACCTGCCCCAGCGCCACTTTGTCCATCACAAATCCCACTTGACTAGACCGCAGCGGTGGGAAGCCAGCGACTAACCGCTTAAGCTACGTCGCGGCCTTGGAGATAATATTGATGAATTTGGTGATAGCATTGGTATAACGTTTACTGTAGACTCTACACTGCAACATCTCGTTACATCTGTTCTCCCTTCCTGGTGCAGCTTCTTGGTATCTGCAATCTCTCCAGGGTAGCCCATTGAGCACTAGTATAACGTTTCACTGTAGACTCTACACTGCAACATCTCGTTACATCTGTTCTCCCTTCCTGGTGCAGCTTCTTGGTATCTGCAATCTCTCTAGGGTAGCCCATTGAGCACTGGTATAACGTTTCACTGTAGACTCTACACTGCAACATCTCACTACATCTGTTCTCCCTTCCTGGTGCAGCTTCCTGGTAGGTTATGCATTGTGTATTGGCAGGTTTGAATATGCACCACAGATTTAATTATAATTTGATTATACATTGTGTGGTGCGTGCTGAGCAGACACTTATGTTATACTTCAGATGCCAATAACTCACTTCCCTTTAAGTCCAAGTGGAGGGCCTGCCATGTTGAAGATTATCATGATCATAAATGGTAGCCTAGGCGAGATTCAGACTGAGTGCCATTTTAATACAGATCTGTAGTGCTACCACTACATCAGTATGCTTGATGTGCAGTGGTAATACTACCATGATTTCTTCCAGAGAGGAGGGCAGTCAGAGAAATGTCTCACAAACTTACATTTAAGACAATCAAGAGTATTTTTAATGCTCATCTTATGGTATTCAGCATAGAAGAGCATATTTTTTAAATATTTTTATTTTTACATTTAATATTTGATATATTTCCTTCTCTTCTTCAATGTTTGATTTTTTACCCAAATATCTTGGGGGGGGGGGCAGATATATCTCCTGCTGGTGCCCAAGAGTGGCAGTTCTGTTGTGCAGAAGGGTGAATTTATTATATCTGGTTCTCCCAGGTGCTCATTATACTACAGAACAATGCAGCGCAGTTGTTGGCTGCTAACAGCTTTCCAGTTAGCTTGAAGAGCAAGGCTGTCTACTTTGTTAAGCGACAGAGAGGACCTGTGCCTAAGGAAGACATTTCACAACACATTATTTTGGGAGACATGGCAATGAAGCCCATTGAGCACCTGGCTGCTTTGGTGGATGAGGCAAGTGTTCATTACGTGCTGATAAAAGATTCCTAAATACAATAATGATATTGATATATTCCTTGCATTAAGTGCATAAAGTTAATATGTGATGGTGATCACTGCATAATGAGGAGCTTCATAACCTGTACTCTTCTCCAAGTATAATTAGAATGATCAAATAAAGGATGATGAGGTGGGCAGGGTATCCAGCACAAATGGGGATATTTGTCGGAAAGCCAGATGGAAAGAAACCACTGGGAGGACCAAGGAGTAGGTGGGTGGACAATATTAAAATGGATCTTAGATAGATAGGATTGGATGATATGGATTGAACTGATCTGGCTCAGGATAGGGACCAGTGGAGGGCTCTTGTGAAAACTGTTATGGACCTTATGGTTACATAAAATGCTGGGAAGTTCTTGAGTAGCTGCACAATTGGCAGCTTCTCAAGAAGGGCTCAGCTCCATGTGTGCTGAACTCTGTATATTTTGTCTCCAAAACAACTGAATGGATTTTAATTAAATTTCTTATTTGGAGTTAATACTGTGCAACACTGTGACCTATTAATAGACAATGAAGCACAGATGATGAAAAAAATCTTCAGTAACTGACTGCCAAGGACAAAATCTGTGCCACTTTGGAAAGTGATTTCTTCCTTTTGGAAGATCTCCGATATGAATCCTGGCTAAATGCTGTCTGTTCTGGCTGAAGTTTGTTAAGTGTCATAATAACTATGCAATAACCAAATCATCTGATTCCATATGCTAATTTCTACATGTTCTAAGTCTTTATGGAAATGCTGCCAGTGTTCTCTGGCATTTTCCAGAAGTCCTTTCAGTTTAGGAAACAAATGATTTAGAGAGCATGCTTTACTGAGTTCAGCTCCATTGTACCTAGTTCAGCTTAGCGCAGTCTTTGGTCAGTGCATTGCCTCTGGCTGATTGGACTTGGTCATCAAGGATAAATCAGATGAAGAGGAAGATGGTTTGATCATTCTCATATCAATATATGTCATATTTAATTTAATCTTCTTGAATATATGGAGGCAACAAAAAACCTGTTTTCCATGTGGTCTGAATTTGAGTGTGGATAAATACAAATAGAAATTAATTTTTATGCAAATTACTCAAAATATAGTGCATTTTTTAAGATTCTGCAGAATTTTATTCTATAAATGTGATACAGAATATTTAGCATAGGAAATGTAGTAGCAGTTCTCAATGATCTGTATATGAAACCTCTCTGCATTACAGTGAGTAGTTTTGGAGGAATGACAGATCCCTTTTGTGAATAAAATGTTGACAATGGAAAAGAATGTTTAGTCAGCCAGTCACGCAATTTTAAGGAATTGACATTCTTTCAACTTCTGGATATATTACCTCGACAGAAACACAGAAATTTTTTGTGATATAATTTCTCTGAAGAGAGGTTAGCAGTAAATCGGTTTTCATTTTATTTTATGTTTAGAAGTATATTTGTTTTACAAAAGAAAATGGAAAGCATTTGCTTATTGAGAGAGATACATGTTATTCACATTCATAAACATAAAACTCAAGTTTCTGTTTTTGCTTTTCAAATTTGAACTGGAACTATTAATAAAATGCATTTCAGCTTATTAACAGTATTTATACACATATATTCAACTTTGAATTTTCTTAGATTGTTGATTAGGAGGTCTTGGAAGGTTCAAAAGTTTGATGAGCTCATCCCTGCAGATTGCCCAAGAGGCAACATAAATGACAATGAAAAGATATTTTGTTCTTAAAAAATCAGCTGGACCTAGTTATTATTAATAAAAAAACTATACATATTTAAAATATCACTTCCTCCAGTTCCAAAGTTTTTCAGTTATATTTGTGAGGTCACAACATTATTTAATAATAAGGTGTTTATTCATTATATACAAAAATTTCCTTTTTAATAAACAGAGATTTCTAACACATTGACAGGCACAGAGCACATGAGGCCACTGCAGTTCTGTAATGTGAAACAGTGATTTTATATGTTCATCTGTTTTCCAGATATTATTTAATATTTCAATAACTTTTAGGTATTTGTGCCACTGCTGTCAAACCCAGCCAATCAGAGAAAATGGCCTTCTGTAGTTGCACAGGATATACAAAAACATGTGCACAGTTTGAAGAGCACAGTTTATCAAGTGAAAGGTCAGGTGAGCGGTCAGACAGTGCTACCAATGCCAGTTGGGGTGGAGCGAGTTCATGAAGCAGAGCGTATACTAATTGAGAGGTACGACAAGATGAGTACAATTTTTGAAAGTAGGAAACTAAAAGTATAAAGGATATACTGAAAAGTAAGGGTAAAAAATAATTTTCATGCTTTCTGTGCTGTGAATAAAATATATAGTTTCGGAACTGATTCACCTTCCATGTATGTCTTTTGTGTGTGGCATTGTGAATGAAAGTAAGCTTCATGCTACTTGAGGTACTCATCTGAAGCATCCTGCAAAGCGATCATATACCACTGTTACTAATGTTATAAGTAATAATGAAAACAGAAGCAATAAATATATCTAGGAATGCAAAGCAACCATTCATCTTGAGATGGCAATGCAGGCAGAGCCCAAAATATAGTGTATATTGCACTGTAATTGCTTTGTGATAGAACAAGATTGAAATTACTGTCTTGGTATATGTAGTTTATTTTCTTGTATTTATTACATGCTGTTAAAATCCCAACATATGTTGGTCACACAAGACCATCTTCAGGGGTTAACATAAAGATATGAAATATGTGAAAGAAGTTTCTTATAAAATCTTTAGACTCGTGTGTTAAATAAAATTCATGTGTAAAGTGGCAGCCATTGCAATTCAGTTGATTATGGCATGTCATGTTATGTTGTACACTGTTGCTCCTTACTCATTTTTTAGGTGTCAAGGAGGCGGAATTCTGCTGTTTCAATGTGGTTCTTTGTAGCTGAATTGTTTAACTGTTTGTCAAGAAAATTAACTTTATCAGTGCAATGTGACAACTTCCTGCCCTCAACACACAAATTCAGGAAATATTTTATTTATTTTACATTGCAGCAGTACTCTTTAAGATTATAGTTGGTTTACTTGACATGTTACATAACTTTTTAAAATAATGTCTGATATCCCTAATATTGTATAACTTGACTCTACAATAATACATATTAATATTCCAGTGAAGGTGAAATCGTTGATCTGTACTTGAAAAGTGCTACTGAAGGAGTTGTCATCAAATGGGCTACACAGATTAATGATGTGCTTACAGAGGAATCAAGTCAGGCATTTGCTGGTGGTCAGAATCCCACTCCCTATGCAGGCACGTCATTACAAATTGTATGTATGTATTAATTGATATTCTGTGCCATTGTAACTGGCATAGAGGTTAAACAGCCATTATCTAAGAGTATATAAAATTACCATGTCCTCACTTATTCAGCACACATTTTAATAAATAGATGCACCTGGCTATACATAGCTTACGTCTGACAAAAGGAATTCACAGACATTATGATACTGACCACAGTTTTTTTAAATGTTAGTGTTTTATTAATATTATGGCACTATTTGCATATTTAACATGACTATAACTGCACCTTTTTTCTGCTAATGAATTAATACTATTCTGAAAGTGTTCTATAGGTGCACATCATGTTGTTTCGGTTTTAGAAATCAACTTTTGGAACTCAAGGTTACGAAATTTGGAATATATCTATCACCAGCTTCGTGATGAACGCGTGAGGAAGATGGCTGTTATTCTGGAAAAAACAGATAGTGCTTACTACCCATGTTTCCGAACACAATTTCAGAATGTAGTTGCAGGTTAGTAATTTTACTACTGCTTTCGGGCAGAAAATCAGACTGTTGTATAATTTTTATGTGATAACAATATACATTTCCCTAAAAACCTAGTACTACTGCTTATATTTACAGTTTCCTTCTGTGAGTTTCTTACTTTTGTCTTCTTTGGCAGACAGCATCTTTGATTCAAACTTGAAGTAATAAATGGGATATCAGTGTATTATCAGTGTTGTATAAATTACAAAACTGTGTTCCTTCCCAGCACTGGCAGAGGCAAAAGATATAACACTGTACCTGAAGCCCCTCCTGCGCCACTTTGCAGCTCTAGAAGAAACAGACTTTGCTGAGATCAAGCCTTGCCTCCAACCACTCATGCATGTTGTGTGTCTTGTATGGGCAAACAGCCGGTATTACTGCAACTCAGCGAAAATTATTGTGCTTCTACGACAGATATGCAATCTTCTAATTAAACAGGTGCAATAATTTTCATTAGCTCAGTCAATAAAACAGATGAAGAATGGAGTTCAGGTCCCTTGATTTATGAGTAAACATCATGTTTTTATGTAGTTCTGCCTTCTGTGACATGTAGTCTGTTTAAAGTCAATAGATGTTTCAGAGGAACATGTTTCTTCTGCTTGTTGCCTCCCTTATTCTGGTTTCTTGGCTTACTCTTCAGTCCTGAAGATGAAGCTGTCATGATCCTTTGAAAATTCAGTTGAATTTCAACAGACTATGCAGTGCTGTATTCCAGAAGACAGAACTCTAAATAACCACTGCTTTGGGAACCTGAAATCCTAAGTATATTTTTGTGTTCTTTTATGTCTATGTAGCTCTGAACTTATACAAGTTCATTCTCACATTACTGAAAGTCGTGCTGTTGTATTCATATCAAAAGTTTCATCTAAATTGTAAAGGGTTTACACAAAAGAATGGCGCGGTTTCAAAAGTTAATAAATTTATTTCTCACCTTACACAAGCACAACATACACTGTCAGATACACCGTCAAGAGGTGACAACTGTCCAGATTTCTCATGTGTTAATTACAAACCTTCAATGTGTGCACCCTGGGTCACACGACACACATCCACACGGTAATCAAACTCATCCCAGACCCAGCGTAGCATGTCAGCTGTAATGGCCTGCAGTGCATGCGTTATCCGATCACGAAGTTCATGGAAGGACGTGGGCAATGGTGGTACATAAACTCTGTCTTTAATGAACCCCAAAGAAAGAATTGTACGGTATAAGATCTGGTCAACCGGGTGGCCTTGTCTGCTAGTTTAAGGGCCTGCCCCAATCGCATCTTATACGGTTTAAAACATAGCCGCTTACGCAACACCATCCACGCCGTAATTTTTGGCATGCCCAATTCCCTGCTTCCTCTACCCACTGACTTGAGAAACGCCTCAAGCACTCTTTCATTGCCATCATCAGATACACGACGTCAACCACGACTCTGGACTTTACACAAGCATCCAGTTTCTACAAATTGTCGGTACCGTCGATACTATCTGCTTATGTTATTCTTGTGTGTTGCGTCTTTTTGAAACCGTGCACGAAACTCACGCTGCACTTTAATCACAGATCTGAACACCTCAAAACGCTCAAAACGGAGTACACAGAAAGCCACCCCCTCCTGCAACGCTATCTTTGAAATTTGCCCCGTGGGCACGCGGCCTCGCAGTAAGCATGAGAAGCGAACAGCTGGTAGCGCATGAGAAACTTGGACAGTTGCCGCCGATGATCGTGTACTATATTGTGGTCGTGTAAAGTGGGATATAAATATTTTATTAACTTTATAAATTTATGTGGTATGTAATTTTTTGTCAATTTTGATTTTGATACATATTAATTATTACAAATATGAGTTGGGCTATGCTACAACCCGGAAGGTCGCGGGTTCAAGTCCCGATGAGGTCATTGGATTTTTTCAGTTAACCTAATCCTTCCAGCCGCACTATGGCCCTGGGGTCGACTCAGCCTTTAACAGAAATGCGTACCAGGAATTAATTAAATAATTTTCCTGAGGAGGAGTAAAGCGCGGCCGGCGCGTAAGGCTGACAACGTTACCGCCAACTTTGAGCCGACTGCTTAGGTAATGTGGGACCCTCAACGTCTCACAACTCCATGGGCCTTTACAGCCTGGTACAGGGATAGCTTTACTTCTTTTTTTTTTACGAGTTTTTATTCTGTCATATTTCATCCGTTTACCTTATGGTTTTGGTACATCATTGCATGTGTTTGATGTAGTTAGTATAGACAAATTTAAATTCTCACTTGTTTTTATTTGTTGATAAGTTATTTTGTTTACAGGCAAAGCATTTCTTGGACCCAGCTTCAATTTTCCAAAGTGATGTTGATGAAGCCAAGCAGAGAGTTGAGGAATCTATAGACGCTCTACTTCTGTTCAGGTGCTAGGTTGTTTTTCATCACCGCATGTTAAATAAATTAGTAGATATATAAGTATACAAAAAAGTCATCCTCATCCTCTTCCCATTACTACCACACCTTTCACCCTCCCCCTCTCCTCCTGCACCTGTTACCATTTTTGTATATTTGCATCAATGAATGGAAAGCCTCCCATCTGATATTTGCTTCCCATTCTTTTGTTTGTTGTTTGTCAGCTGTTCTTCTCTCTTTGATGTCTCCATTACCTGACTGGACCATCTTATTTTGGGTAATCAGTTGAGCTGAATTAACTATGTACTCCATTTAAGTATTGGATTGTAGGTTTCTTAACAAGATGGTATAGAAGAATCTCATCTCCGTATCAGTTTCTCATTTTTCTTGGTAATCTCCTGATCATAATTTAAAGGGAAATTGAAAAGGAGGCCCTCAAGAATGCCTCATGCATCAGGCCATGACCTTACATGTCCATTGTATCAAAGTTCCATGAACCAGTTAGACAAGAGTTTAAAGAAGTAATGTTTGAATGTCAACACAGTTTTAACTGAAATATCTCCTCTTCCCTGTGGACCACTGTGTTTTATGATAATGTAAGAGTTTTATATAATTTTCACTGAATCACAGAGTCAATATGTTGTTAACAGAACTGTTTATTTAAATGTTATGTTGCAGAAAAATATTTGACAACTGCAGAGAGAATTTGGCTTCATATTTCAAGGACAAGGAACCAACACTGTGGACATTTCATCCCAAGATTGTATTTGAACGTTTCCAGAGATTTGTTGATCGTCTTGAAACAATTAAGGTAGTAAAACCCAAAGAAATTGGTAGACTCATAGATAATCTAAATAAAATGCTTCTAAAAGATGCCTTGCTGATTTCTTTTCATTGTCACATATCCCCTTTCCTTTTTGTTTTGAACCATTGATTTGCAATATTATCATTACATATCACATTTGCTTGATATTTTCATCTTCTAACTCACATTTATTCAATGGAAAATGTTATATGTGATTCCCCATCCATTATTTTTTGATGTACGTAAAATGTTATAAGTCATTATGAGTTATAATATTTCTGATGTTTAGTTGATGGTAGTAATAAATATGTTATCTATTATAAAACTATACATTCAACTCACTGATTGTGGTTTCATAGGTTCATAACACTAGGCATACTGCTTTATTCTGAGTGTATTTTTCATTGTACTTGCTCTTACAGAGCTTCTTTCATACCGTTTTGGAGTTCATGAAGCTTGAAAAAATAGAAATTGGAGGGCTGAGGGGACGTCTTTTGAGTTCCAGAGTTGTAGCTGTGTTTGCAGAGTTCAGTGAACACTTGGCTTTGTTTGGAAGCAAGACATATGATGCACTGGATCCTGAGGATCTCGCATTTGAGACTGACTATCAGGATTTTCAAAGGAAGATTAGAGACCTTGATCGAAGACTTGCTTTTGTACTGTGTCAGGCTTTTGACGACTGCTGTAACCTTGAGAGTGTATTTAAGGTAAGAATAGTGTGTGTTTATATAGGGAGGTTATATGAAAGCCTGCCACAGACCTTGTATTCAGACACTTCGATGAATGGGAGGCATGCTCCACCTGTCTAAAGCAGAAGTTGTTGGCTGATGATCAGTATAACATAACAAAGCCCTACCACAATACTGTTAACATGCGTTGAAAATTTTTCAGGTGAAAACATTCCCAAGGAAATCTATCCAAGATTGTCTGAATGAATATGTACTGAGAACTGATATTCTTGTACATATTGACGGTATCTGAACTGAGGAACATTGATAACTTGCATTTAACCGCATTTATTTATGTACCACTTGTTTTTGCCGGTTTGCACGAAACACTAGTGGGCAGCATGTTGTATATCACTCTTTTATGGGATACATGGAAAAGTTCATTAATGGGAATGTGGAAACTAGATGTTAATATCAATCAGTGTGGCAGATAGTCAGAATGTGTGGCAGCTTTTAGTGAAAGATGGCATGTTGAATTTGAAGAAAATCTGTCCAGCGGTGTAGCTGCTGATCATGGACAGGCAGAAGAACAGATATGATTTCTACATAAGACAATAATATTTTTACTTTCTAAGGATGCTCCATAATATACAAAACATTAGATTCAAAGTGACATATGAATATATATTTACATCCAACATATTCATCAGACTCAAGAATTTTGATATAGAAGAGAATGTTTTTTGTGTGACCCAGTTACCAGCAGCCACTATAAGTTTAACATTTCTAAAATGGCCTTCTTGGCTCTTGCACCGTGACCTACAGTGATCTGTTGTGCTTTAAAATTATACTTGCTTGACAAGCAACTTAGAAAACTGATCTACTAACTGCATAGAACACTTAATGTTCTTTTACATTCTGTACTTAAATACTTTTGATTATATTTCTTCATCACTATTTAAATATTTTCAAAAGTCTTCTATTATTTCAGCTTATTGAAATAGTTGGTTCTGTTTTGGATCGGCCTATCATCAAAGACGAGTTCACTGGAAAATATGATGCCATTTTGGGTATGCTGAATGCAGAATTAGTCACAGCAGAGGTATGATGTAAACTGATGGCTTAACTGCATAAACCATGGTATTAATATTAGTGTAAATTTTGAAATCTTAGTCTACTACAGTGAGATCATGCTCAGGGACTGTGGAAGCATCTTGTCAAGTGCCTTCTAAACATGAAAAATATCTCTTACCAAGCAGTAATATTCTCTCTGAATAGAATTAAGTGAAAATATATTACTAAAGTCATACTGATAGTATTTTATAAATCAAAAGTAAATATTATACCAGGGCAACTCTCAACTTTGGTGTTGTCCATTTCGATTTACCAGACTTCATGTGACACCCCAGAACACAGCAAACTTCATAGTCACTCTCATGAAAACCTTCATTGTCATCTTACAAAATTTTTATAACATGCTTCTCGCAGGTTTAACTTCACACTATAATTTGTTTTTATTGTTTGTTGAAATAGTGACTGCAAAAGAATTTTCATGGGGTGTTTTCAGACGTTACAAAAATAAAATAATCATAATACAAGGGCTATTTTGAAAGTAATATCTGATGAGCTGTTAATGCCACAAGCAATTAGGAAAAAATCATTATATACAAACAATGCATACATACTTAAGTTATTTCAAAACTTATTTACTGCTGGAATTGAGAACTTGTTGTATCGGGGAATGAGTTTTCATATCCCTGTGTCAGAGAAGTCTGCCGCCTATGAACTCAGCCATATTTTGACACTTTCCGTCATCATATCATTCTTGAAGCGTTGTGATCTCAGCCAGTTCTTCAGGTAGGGAAACAAGTGGTAGTCACTCAGAGTGAGATCAGGGCTGTTTAAGGGGGTGAGAGCGGCCATATGCTGATGCACATTATCATGGAAGACACTACACTGGATGTCACTATACCACGTTTTTTTGTTCTGAATGGCTCAACGCAGTTTTTTAGAGTTTTGCAATACACATCTCGCATTATTGTGGTCCCTTGTTGCATAAATTCCACCATCAGCACCCCTGTCCTGTCCAAGAAAAGAGTTGCCATCAGCTCGCTGGCAGGACAAAGTGTGTTTGAACTTTTTTGGCTTGTATGATGAATGTGTGTGCATCCATAGTTTTGACTGCACTTTGGTTTCAGCATTCACAAATAAAACCCATGTTTCATCATCTCCTGCTCATACAATGTGATTGAGAAATCCATGGCCATCTTTGTGATATCACTCTAAAAAGTCAAAGCTGAAGGAAGCTATTCTTTGTTTTGTATGTGCACTCATGAGCATTTTTGGTACCCATGTTGCACAAAACTTGTGACACCCCAACCTAAATGTGATAACCCCGTAGACAAGAGTGTGTGAAATTTGTGGAAATTCATTATACTAAAGTTCTGAAGTTGTGAAGTGCTGTCTTCCACAAATTTTCTGGTCAACACTTTGAACAAGATCATCACCCACTACAGATGGCCGACTGACCACTTCATTCCTCATCATGAACGTTTGTTCACCCATTTTTGAACATTCTACACCATTGTCTTACAGTTCCTTCACACATTAAATTTTGGCTGTAAACCACCACACATAATTCATGATGAATTTCCATGGCACTCAATGTTTTCAGTGAGAAAAAATTGGACGACAGCGCAAATTTCACAGCTGGCGGGATTATCAATTGCAGGACATGCCATAACTTACTCAGTAGAAACAAGAACAATCACTATGTGACCAGTTATGTGATGGTTTTTGAGTTGGTCAGCCAAGTGATGCTACCTCAAATGCACAAACCCTCCAATGCTCCTACATTAGTTGCCTAAAATAAATGGGCTACTTTCCGAATAGCCCTCATGCATGAATATAACATGATTATTGATAGATGAATTAATTATTACATAGCCCTCTTAAGTTTATTTCCTTACACTCCTAGGAGAATTTATTTGCTTTGAATCAATGGAAACATCTATATGTTTAGGCTCTGTATGAGGACCAGATGGCCTCATTAACAAAACATGGATGGATGCCTGTAGACAAGAACATGCCTCCAGTAGCTGGAGCTCTAAGATGGGCATACCAACTGCGTCAGAGAGTGACAGTTCCAGTCAGGAATTTCAAGGCCCTTCAACACCCGTGAGTGTTGTAATGGAAGTAAAATTACTGTACAACATTGTAAGGTTCATAATATAAATTTAAGGGTGTAAAATTATCTTCCATTATAGCACTGCAAAGTTGGGATTGTGCAACTTGAAACATAAGGGAAGTTCATAAAAACTTTGACTGAAAGGGGCAGGAAGCAATTCATATAAAGTCACTCTTTCACATTCACACCCCACACTCACCAGTGAGGCTCTGATGATCGAGTTGTTGCAACTGTCATGAAAGAAATAGCGCCTCCTAATTCAAGACCAAGGCATGGTGATATAATAGTTGCAGCTTGCGTGAAGGATATGCTGCACTCATACTTCTGTTAAGATGCATTGTGGTCAATATATAAACCAGTAAACTTGTGAGAAGTTGGAATTATTTAAAACACAATGGAAACTGATGATATCTGAATTTAAGGTAGTTTTAATTTCATTTTAAGAGTCTTCTCTCTCACATCAAGTTAGGGATGCAGCACACATGCTAGGTTGAATGCTTCCTCACATTAGGTTTATTATATAATTAGTAATCACATCATTAGCTTAGAATAGAGGTGGTATAGCTCAGTCAGTATAGTGATGGACTGGATTGTTCAGGAATTAATGTTAAATTCCTGTTAGGGGCAAGACGTTTCCTTCTTCACAGTGTCCAGACTGTCTCTCATGCCCACCCAGCCTCATATCTAATGAGCTGTGGGTGCTCATTTCACACAGACAAAGCAACTGCGGCATAAAGTTGACTGCTCACCTCCAACTAATGCCATGGTTAAGAATATGGAGAACTATACTTCCACTTTCCCATACATCTTCTTGGCTTGATGTTTAATTAATTAAGCATGGGGATAAATTTATAATTTTTAGTATAGACTTCATGTGACAGCATAAATTAGGCTAAGTTAAATTTAATCGATTCTTTAAAGGTTTGTGTCATTGGTTGATTCATTATATGCACATTATGTTGGGCATTGTACAGTGTATGGTGTATATTTAACACTCAGAATTACTAGGTTTTTGGACTTTATCCATTGCCTGGATGATGGACAAAGTCCAAAAACCCAGTAATTCTGAGTGTTATACACCATCCTCAGAATCCTTTAAAATGTACTTGTGTATTTAATGTTCCCAGTGTTTTGGAAACTGGTTCAGTTGTCACCATCAGGTAGGAGTTAAGATAGGATTCAACTTGGTTGTGTTAGCCTCGATCACAGTTAAGCAGTCAATTTTTCAAAACACGTATGTTAAACATGCTCCAGACAGTTTACAGTATGCAATGTAGTATTCATTTAATTCATATGAAGTATTCAGACTTCAGTCTTGAATTTGAATTTGAAGCTGGGAAGTTCAATGTGTCGAGATCCACTGTAACCAGTGCACTTCAATCTGTTATATACTAATTAGAAACTTAATTAGAAACTCACCCGAAATGTTTAGCCAATGCAGTTCTCATAACAAATCTGGCTCTCGGTGAAACATAATAGTCTATACAGAGTGTCCGGATGAAAGGTATCCAAAATAAAGTCATTATATCTCAGAAAGAATTTATTATACACATTAATGGGTTACGCCACTACAAAGGAAAACTATCAAAGGTTTTTTTTTCCTTATATAACTTTCCGAATAAATTTAAATGTGGGCTCCCATGGTGGCACAACAAATATCCATACTTGAAGCATGTTTAGTGTTACCATAGCCACAGTGTCCCTTATATGGGCTTTCAGTTGTTGAAGGTCATTGATCTTAACCTGATAGACAATGTTCTTCACATAACCCCACAAGAAAAAGTCCACTGGGATTAAATCTGGCGACCTAGGAGGCCAAATGATTGGTCCACCTCTCCTAATTCATATCCCAGCAATCTCTCTGTCCAAGTGATTCCTAACATGGTGCAAATATGTGGCAGCCTATGCGCGTAAGCCAGATATGAAAAGAAAATTTTCAGAGTTTTCTTTTCTGATGACATGAACCAGATACGTGTATGACAGTTTCTGAGATATACATTTTTTATTTTGGATACCTTTCATCTGGACATCATATATTTGGGAATGCTGTCACCTACATATGAATACCTCCTTTAACTGACTTACTAGTTACCTAATTAAGAAGTTGTCTGATTGAGTAACAGACAAACAAACAAGCAAAAAAACTAGCCACCTATATATTTCGTTTCCTAACTACTGGATGTCTGACAAATGAACTTCATAACTATCTACCTGACAAACTAGCTGATCAACAAATTACCTAATTAAAACCTATTCTGAGCCTTCACTTTCACGCCATGTTTCTGGGAGAACTGTTTTTTTTTATTACCTTTCCATCTGTGTCAAGGTTTTCCATGTGAGTCCTACCTTGAAGAATACAAGTTAAAATATAGCTCTTATTTCTTGCCTGCATGTTGCATATTCCACATATGTTATCATCACTGATTTGTTCTACCTAATAGTACTGTCCATCCTCCTCTTACTTCCTGTCTTCCTTGTATTCAGATGTTTTTGTCAGTACTTTGTTTTAAACATCCTGAATCAACTTCCATACAACTCAGCTCTGAATTAACTATATAACGATTTTGTGACATATCAAGAACTTCAGAGCGAAACTTGTTTCACACTTTGAGGTGAGTCACAGGTCAATTATAGAGAAGCACTTCAGGAGTATATAACTATCATTTGTATGTAACCCAGGTGTCGTGTCATAGCGTTCTCATTTCTGCAGGATTGTGACATGTCCTGAAGCAGCAGTGGTGCTGGCGAAGTATGATTGTATGATGGATTTATTGAACAAATTTGAGAATGAGATGTTTACCAGCTGGGCAGCATCAGTGCCTGACCAATGTGAGAAAAACTTGAAACTGTCACTTTTGACACGTAAAGCAGTTAATAATGAACTAGCTCTGAACTTTCATCCCGAGGTAAACTTCTTTAATACACAGAAAAATCTTATTCAGTAATGGACGATAAGTTAAAGTTTATCAGTTTTACAGTTGTGATATCATTCTGGAATAACAATTATTTTTATTAAGCAGGAAATACCACTGGCTTGTGTAGGTCAGGTTTTGATTAATGTCCCCCATTTTTTTTTCTATGCAATAGACAGATAATCATTTACAGCAGATAAATTATCTGTAGGACTGCAGGCATGTTAACCAAGTGGAGTCCAATGAATGTGAATCAAGTCTGACTTGGTAAGATGCTGCAGAGGCAGACCCATTTGTTCTGCATAGAACTCCTGTATACCTAATCACCATGACTCATATTAGATGGAGCTAACTGTCTGTTCTGCATTATCTTAATGAATCACATGCAGTGCAGCAGTTAGCATGTCTGCTGTGTAAGCCCATCAGTGACTGCATAAAATTCAGCAGTGATGCTTAGGAGGTAATAAATATGTTCGTGTTACACTTATACAAGTTCTCACCATATGGTAGTCACTGTAGCAATTAAATTAAATTTAATGTGAGACGCACTCAATTGGAGTAGTTTTAAAAGACAAATTAAATGATTATTATCCTTGCATTGAATTCATGTACTACAGATTCTGATAATTAATGGAGTGTTAGCAACAATAATTCATATATTTGGGGAACAAACCATGTAATTATTAGAATATGATAAGTATTCTGCAGTAATTTCTGGTCTGCATGACAATTGATGTATTCATATCACCTGTTATTTCCTGCTTCTTAGCTGACAGCCATCCTGCGTGAAGTTCACTACCTAAATCTCGTGGAGCACACAGATATTCCAGAAGAAGCCATTCATATATATGAACGTAGTGAGACCTTCAGAAAATATACTTCAAACCTCAATCAGACTATCCAGTGGTAAGCTTTGTTGTCATTTATTAACTCTTTATGAAGTGACTTATTTAATATCAGACCTTAAGATATTTTATTTATCTAAAAAGGTAATAAAATTCTCATTCCAAAGCAAGAATAAAAATGCATACTGAATAAATCAAGTTTCCATAATATGTCAGGAATACTTTCTAAAACTTCTAGGCTTTCTTTTGTTGTATAATGTTGTGTATATTTTAACTGAACACTCATAATTCACTAGGCTTAATTCATTAGTTTGACCTTGCATGTTCTACTATTTGATAGTGATATAATAATCAAGACCTAATGAATATCTCAAAATACTTGTAGACGGTTCTGATTCAGTGAGTTGCTAAGCAGGACAAGTGCCCAGGTCATCATATCTGCTGGAGAAACAGAGTATACATGTTGTAAATTTTACATGGAAATGAGTTTAATTTAA